GACCCCTTGCCCTTCCTGTCTTTGTTCCTCCCTAGCTCTGATGGCTGAAGCTGCTGCAAGCATTCCTGAAAAGTTGGCTGTTTTTTAAAGTGCATGTGCTGAGAAAGGTCGAGAAGGAATTTTCACAAGCAACTACAGATTCTCTAATGTCTTTGATGTGCAGTAGGGAAATGCTTGGAGACCACACCGTTGAGGGCTTTTCATCTGAACCCCGAAACCTTGAATACCCAGCACAGAAAAACCCCTGAAGTTCACACATCTTCCAGGCTCACACTCCATCAGTAGCTAGGCTACACTCATCAGATTTTGGTTTTTTTCCTTCTTCAGCAGGGTCCTACATTTATTGTTTAAAAAAAAAAAAACCAAACAAAACCAAACCAAAGAAATTGCAGTCTTCCTCCAGCATTCCTCTGCCACTTACTCAGTTTTTGTAATTTTTGGTGCTAAAAAGCAGTGAAAATACTGTGTCGTCTTCCTGCAGTAAGGAAAGGAAGCTACTGAAACGTGGTGAAAGGTGTTTCGCTCTGTAACGGTTTCTGAATCAGGGACTTCTCCTTTTCTGTTCTCACTTCATCTGTCATCCTCTCTGACAGCTACAAACCATTCCCTTGCTGTCTGCAGAATCTTAATCCTTCAGTGTATAGCACAGACAAAATAATGGACAGCTAATCCTTTCTCTTGGCCTTTAAAAATGGTTATCTCGCTCTGAGGTAATTGATACGTAGCAGCCTCTCCCTCGGTGCCAGGAGATCAGAGTCACGAGGTCAGGTAATGCACAATTTCCTAAGGGTCAGTGGTATCCGTGAGGATATTTCCTACCTTCTTCCCTCAGATTAACCAGGTGTGGCCATGAAAACACAGGGGATGCACGGGATGCTTTGCAAAGGCTTTTCACTCCTTCCTGTTCTGTAAATTTATTTGTAACAAATTAACATGTTTACTCTGCTTTTGATTCAGAGGTGGCAGTTGCAAAAAGAACCTGGAATTCCTTTCATGTGCTCATTAAAAGTTGCATACCAGGGTTTTCTATTATTTTTGCAGGTGGATTTATCTAAATGAGCAGAACCTATGTATCCCAACTAGTTCTTCCTTTGTGTATGGAGCTGTACCCATTGGAGCCAGCATATATGTGATTGGAGATCTCGATACAGGTCAGAATTAGAACTAATAACCTCCTGTTGCTTGTCTCTTCCAGGCTTTCAAATATGCGGCACTAATGAGGCCAAATTCTTTGAGAATAAAAGGCTGGGACTGTGTTGTGTTAAGTTACTGTTCTCTTTGGGGGAGTTATGCTGGGCACAAAGATGTGCAGGTTGGCTTTGGGCACTGGAGCTCTGCAGAAACAAATGCAGCGCTATAGGTGTTTGGTTAATGGGCACTTGGGAGATCGAAGAGATCACGACTAAGCGTGTGTCACCGCGTTTGTCTAAATACAAGAACAAATGTTAGTGCCTGAGGTTGTTTCTCCCACTTTTGCAGTGGTAAGCAGGCAGTTCTGCGTTTTGGGGACGTTGTCCTGTGGCTCACATGGATGTGACAATGGCTCCTCTCTAAATCCCCACTGAAAAAATGGGCACTAATAGACTTCCCCAGTGCTCAGCTTTCAGCATCTGGCCACATGCTGTAAGAAGCACTGGGAAGACAGCGTACTTCCATGGCCACGTGTGCATGTGTGAGTGTGCAACAGGCTTCCTACAGGTTATGAAAGAGCAAACTCCAAAAGTGGTGGGTTTAGCTAAGAAGTGTCACGGTAGTTTCCTTTGGACAGCAATTGCAGCCATAACACCCAGAAGTTGATTTGTGTCTGTGTGTGCTCTTGTTCACATTCTTAGAATC